AGGGAGACCCACCATGTCCAAGTACTCCGTGATGAACGGGTGAAGGGGGAATCTAAGACCCTTGGCAAAACTCATGGGGTATACTCCGAAGTACCCCAGAGGTGGATTCAGCACGTGGTCCGTCGGCTTGGAGGCCCTAACCCTTCCACTAGGTAATCAGCCACACTGCTCTCCGGCTTGATCAAATAAATGTTCGTGAGGTCCAGGTAGGAGTAACTTGGACCCTTCTTCGACCGACGGCTTCTCGTCGGAGCGGTCCCCTTCACGGCAGAGACCAGCTTCGGGCAGGGAATTGCAGCTGAGGTAGATGATCCGTCCACAGCGCGGGAGACCACTACGTCCTCACCTTCAGACGATGAGGCGGCCTCTTCGTCTTAACCTTCAATGTCCTCCTGCTCCCCTTACTTGAAGGAGCTCAGGTCCTCTATCTCCTCGCAACACTCCTCTACTACCCGGTAATCAAGGGATTTAACGGAGGCCTCATCGTCATAGGGGTAGTATTCGTCGTCCAAGGTTTTCATCATAACAGCTAGCTAAAGCCTAGAGGGGATTACTTTGGATCTAAGGGTGATTCTCCACTAACACTAGATCAAGGCCCCAGGAAAGCAAAGTATGCAATAAACCGGAAGAAAGTGTGATGAACTGACCTTTGAAGATATGAAGTTTTGAAGAACACTCGAACAGCCTTTATCTCTCTAGAATTGGGAAGCACTTCGTTATCTCAAGAATGCAATGGGGAGCTTCTTCGGAGGGAGGGGGATATTTATAGACCTCCCCCTAATGGTCACTACACGTGGCACTCCACCGTTGGCCACATGAACGACCACCACTCAAGGCCCATTGGGCTGGCACCGGTTCAAAAGGCGGGTTAGGCCCACTTCTATCAATACTAGTCCATCGCCAATGTGCCAGTAATCAGCGTCCGTAACGGCTAACCATTCAACGGCCACACTAAGAAAGCACGCCTACATCGGCCCCAACGCAAAAATGATTTCAAAAAGGTAGGTCACACCACAAAGTGTGTCCATATCGGCCCAGAAGGAATACCAACAACAGGGCCCCTTCAATGGCCACAACAGCAAAGCAAAAAGTAACCCCACAGCCGTCGGCCTTGTATAAAACCCTGATGATAATTTCTTGAAAGCGACCTGCATCCACGGGTTCTCCAACAGGGTTACCTTGGTCAGGAAATCGCCAAGGAATTGGATTCAGGGGAATACAAGAATCCCGCTTCGGCCTTAGGTTATTCGCTACTCCTTCACCCCTCGCTTACTCTTTGGCCTGAAGCAGTGGGGGACTGGGGGACTACACCAGCCTCTGGAATACAAGAGGACAAAATCAAAGAAATCCAAAAATATATTAAGTCCACAACTACAGCATCAGATCATATATGCACCACAACGTCCATGATTTTGTGGTGCACCATCGGCCGCAGCAGAGTCAGCAAACAGAATTCCCCCCAAGGATGCAACACCTGAGATCGAAGGCCACTCAACGGCTTCGAGACCACACACTCCACTCTCAGTCAGGAATTAAAATTGGAACTCAACGTCCTCAGATCACCATCGTCCATGAGATCAGGATACGCATTACTCCTTCCGGATCAGTGCCGCTATCGTCCTCAAAAACATGGACACCAAGCTACGGATACCACCGCTCCGGCCAAAAGCACAGAATGCAACCAACGATGGCTAAAGAAAGCAAACAACACCCTCATCGTCTCCACCCGGAGACAAAAGGAGACTCATCGTCCTCAAACACGAGATACCCACAATGGTCTCTTCGGCCCAGAGCACGAAATACAACCATCAATGGTCAGGAATAAGAAAGCACTGTCTTCATCGGCCACTCCTGACAGAGAACGCTCATCGTCTCCACCAAGCAAAGGCACTCGTCGTCCTCAAAACAGAAACAACATCATCCGCATGGGTGGGGCCCTCTTCGCCCACACAAAAGGCCACACAACGGCCAGAACGTAGAGTGCCTGTAACGGCGAAAAACAAAGAACCAGAGCAGATGGTGCTCATAACGGCCAAGACTTCACAGCGGCCTCACAATGGCCATAAAACGTCAACGCCAGGAAATCTACTCTCCCTCACTTCGTCTACATCTCAGCTCAGAGAGTGGAGGACTCCTGATGGAGTATATGGGCCTGGACCCCAGGGCCTACATACTCAGGAAAACAGAAGGTACCACGATCACCTGGTGGGACCCTCGTCGGCCAGATGACCTCCATCAGCCAGAAAGAAGTCTACTTAGAATATGATCCAGAAGCTAGGAGAATCGGGTGACCTCGTCGGTCGGGTCTTCGTCGGCCATGCCCTCATCGGCCATGCCCTCGTCGGCCATAGATAGCCACCAGAACAGGATTTTGTACTAAACCATTTCCATACACTTTGTATCCGGCCCATTAGTGGCCCCGTTGTAAATGGGCCTCCTAAGCCCAAGGCTTGGGAGCGCAGCCCTAATTTTCTCTATAAATACTCCCCTTGGGAGTAGTTGTAGGGGTTCACAAATCATTAATACAAATAAATTATAGCACTTCTCTCTCTAGCTCTCCATTCTCTCTAAGCTTATACTCTATCACTTATGCTTGCCATTAACTTTGTTGAGGACTCAGTTCAGCCATGAACTAAAACTTGGACCTAATATAGTAATCATACATATTTGGTTGTAAACTATAAGGGTTATTTACATGTTCACTAAATTTAGACCTAATTTATGACCCAGTTTAGTACCTAGATATGCAACGTATATCCATTCTAGTCCTCAAAATACTAAAATTAAATTAAGCTTAAATATGTGGTGATGAAATTCCTCTATTTAACTTGATTGGTCCATTTTAGAACTAAATATGCTTTATGATTAAATTACAGTCAAGGATCAAGTGATGTCCAACATGCAAGGATCAATTGAGTAATAGTGTATAGTTGAGAGACAAAATTGGATGTTAACCCCTTTTTCAATCAATTGGTTTAAATATTGGTTCAAGGTGGAATAGCAGTTCTAACATTTTGCGGTCAATGCATCTAAAAATCTATTTATGCATCAATTGACTAGATGATGCAGTACAGTGTTGTTAATGTCTATATGTCTATGGTAGTTCTTGAATATGCTATGTCTCCAATGTTTTCAGTCTTGCTACAAGAGGCAAAAACTAATGCACAAACAAGAATATGAGAAGTGGAAATCTACGGTTGTGAACTCCAACCATCACTGCAAATCTAAAGGTAGGCTGTTAATACACTTGACTGTTCACATTGTGTTGAAGCCATAGTGTGATATATTTTATTGTAAACTAATGTCATCTAAAGGTTGGAATCTCTAGCTCCATTGAAGCGCACCAAACAAGTCCGGCTAAACTTCCCGAAAAAGGTTTCAGAAACAGAAGTAGATGTGGCATGATACACACGCAACATGTTTGTAAGAATTGTCGAATGGTGTTAGCATTTTACCATGGCTAGGAACACAGAGCCAAAAATATCAAGGATAATGATCTCCCTAAATTATTGTTAGTTTACATCTGAGGTGGGGCTGAAAATGCTTACTAGTTTTACTGTCTACACAACATCAGTTTCGTTTTTGGTATATATCAGTATGGTTCATGCTCAAGGTACTCAAATGGAATCAAAATATTGGGTATTGAAGTATAACATGGTAGAGTAATTTTAAAGATTAATTGAACAAATTAAACTAGTCAAGAAAATAATAAAATATTCTCCACTAAAATCATGGAGGGTAAAAAAAACTTGTTTTTTTAATTATACACATTAGAAACCTCATATAGTTATAAAATCTTCAAATTTTATTACTATACACACATGTAGACAGTAGTCAAGGGAATAGGCTCCTAACGTTTTTGAGTTGTATAAATAAAAGCTTGAACTAGAGTACAAGACTAGTGAATCCTTTCGGACATTTCTTGTAACTTGAAATCAATTTTAGATTATAGCTTGATTCATGTCAAGCCTAACATAAGTAGTTAACTAATTTATCTTGTCTTAGAGAGTACTTAATCTCATGCGCCCCTAGTCCCTACATATATACAAAGTGCTCATCTAACAAAGTCCTAAAACATGGGAAATCACCTCTCTTTGTTGTCTTTATTTCTTTCTTTGTGTAGGGTGTAATTCGAAAAAATGAAGAAATATTAATTAAATAAAATTAATTAATAAATAAAAATAGGCAAAGAAAATCCGAAAGTAGATGAGACAGAAATTAGCCAGAGCTCGTGCTACACACGATATCCTTAAAACGTATTCGTTGCCTCCCACGGTGCTAGGAGCGTTGCAACGACCGTTTCCCAGGATACGGTGGCTAACGAACTAACGTTTGAGCACACAAACGAAAGTTCCGGTGAAAGGAAACACAAGAAGAACACAAAGGAAATTTTTGGGGAGCTGGAGGTGTTTTTAGTTGAAGGAAAAACGTGCAGATTGTGTATGATCGCATGTGTTGTTGCAAAGCACCTGTCAACTATTTATAAGAGGATTTGTTGTGTGTTGATGGAGAGTTAAGGGACCTGAACGTTGGACATCAATGACCAGTCTGTTGGGTATTGAATCATCCATGAATTGTCCATTTAACGCTGCATTAAAAGATAAGAATGTTGGACATTTATTGCTGTAATGGTTCAGAACTGCTCTTAGGTATTCTGCCAACAGAATACCTCGTAGGTCTTCTGGTCCGGAAGCCAACAGAATACCTCTCAAGTCTTCTGGTCCAGAAGCCAATAATAGCGGAGCAGTTTTGGGTCTGGGCAAAATAAAACGATACGGGAAGAAACAAAAATTAGATCGTATCTTTGAAAGATAGATTTTTGGACGACATTCCGATCCGCAGGTCACCCGCGCACACAAGTCGCGATTTTTCTTCTCCATTTTCGGGATTTGAACGCACCCCCTGCGCGTGAAGAGAGCCTTTACACTAAGAATCTTAACTCTTTCAAAGAGGGTTCCCTTTAAAAAGGGGTGAAAATCCCTTGGGGTTTCCGGTGTGGGATAAATCCCACTAGAAACCCATCATTTTCCTAGTTTTTCCATTTCTACGAGTGAACTTCGAGAATCAGTTTCTCATTCACCCGTTATCCGTTTTGAATGTACCATATATCGAATAGCCTTAACAAGGACAATCTGAAACCACTTTGACCCGACCCAAGTCGGAAGTGGACCCCACTAAAAATATTGCCACAAATTGACCATTTAATGCAATTTTTAACACATTTTTCCAACAATCCCCCACATGAATGAAAATTGATTTCGAGACTTAAAAAAAGACACGAAGATAGGAGGACACATTGTGTTCACCGCATGATCCTTGCATATGGAGAGATAGGTTTTATCCTTTGAACCTTCCACTGTAAAGACATGTTTATTTACTGGCTGTCTAGTAGACTCGATGTCCTTGAACTATACTGTCGTCGTGTCAACATTGACTTATCTTTACACAGGAACCTTCCAACTTTGTTCCGTTCTCATGGGTGTGCCCGTTTTGACCATGGGTCACCGTCCTGGTTATGCAAGGGCCTGAAGATGAACATCTTCACCCCTGAAACCGTGGGTCGTGAGATGATCATCTCCACTTCAGAGGCCATGGGCCTGGAGACGATCATCTCCACTTCAGAGGCCAAGGGCCTGGAGACGGGCATCTTCACCCTTGAGCATCTCCACTTCTTAGCTCAACGCCTGTAGACGAGCATCTTCACCCGTGAGACGACCATCGCCACTTCAGAGGCCAAGGGCCTGGAGACGATCATCTCCACTTCAGAGGCCGGGCCTGGAGACGATCATCTCCACTTCAGAGGTCAAGGACCTGGAGACGAGCATCTCCACTTCAGAGGCCAAGGGCTTGGAGACAATAATTTTGACGATTGTTCAGTTCCAATTTGATTTCCCGGCGACAATCTATCTCCAACGAATCTAAAAATGAAAGATGAAGTGGGAAAAATGAAAAACGATGAAGATTAAAATGATAAAGGTGGGAGATGGTGAAGGGGATTAAAGATGACGCAAGATGATGAAAATGGAAGGTGAGAAAAATGAATGTGATGAAGATGAAAATGGAAGAAAAGAGAAACAGAAAGAGAACGGAGGAGGAGGGATTATAGGAGAGAGGGAGGGAAAAGGGAGAAGACATGTTTTTTGGGTACATAAAGTGGGTATAAAGTAAGCAAAATTGAATATGATATGGTGAGACTTTTTTATGTCATAATGTTAATGGAATGGACGTAATACTACATAATTCATTAGTTTCTCATTCTTTATTACTTCATCCGTCCTGCAAAGAACTTCCCTGTTTGACCTACACACATATTAAGGAAATAAACTTACCAGGGGGTAAATTTTACTGTTTTGAGACTGTTTCAACACTGTTTTGCACTATTTGATAGTGTTTCGCACTGTTTGACATTGTTTTGATGTAGATAACTTCCCATTTAGGAAAATGAGAACTTCATTTTGGGACTGCTAAAAAAGGAAAGCGAGAAGTTCTTTGCGGGACGGAGGGAGTATATCTTTTTGCTTCTCGCAAACTTTGCATCTTTTATTTCATTATTATTGTCAACCGGACCAGTTTCGGGGTAGGTGGCCAGGTTCGGGTTAAACCGCCCGATCTTATGCTCATAAGGCCATAACATAGGTCGTGGAGGCCCAATTTATCAAAGTTAGAAAAGAAAGTACACGCATTCACATGTATGGAATCTTTCGAAAAATCGATCATTTTCCCCCGCACGCGAAATTAAAACCTCTTCATATCTACTTTTAAGTTCCCGCCATTGTTATACAACTTCACATGTACGCATGTACATCCAAGGCTGGCCCTGAGGGACTAGAAGCTGTGCGATTGCACAGGGCCCCAAAAAATAGAGGGCCTAAATTTTGCTAAACACAACCACTAAATTAAATAGAAATAATTAAAAATAAATCAAATATCTTAATTACCCTTATCGATACCTAACGATCGTGTAAGTGATCAACTACCTATCCTCGCTCCTCCAAGAAAGCAATAAACGCAGAAGAAACCTGGGAAGTTTAGTGCAAGCCTCGAACACAAAACGCAGACCTGGAAAGCTAAGAGGCAAAGGTGAAACGCAGAAAGCATACTAGGAGGAGGCACAATGCAAACCTAGAATACAAAAACGCAGAATCACACTAGCAGCCCGGGAAAGGCAGAAAAGAAGGAAGCAAGCAATAAACGCAGAAAGCCAAAAAAATGTTTCCCTAATTCCACATGATGTGAGTACAATATCATCAATCATTCCTATATGATAAAAAAATCATCAATCATTCTTGCATTATCATTCATCCTTGTTCCTTTTGAGTTATGACTAACTTTATTGTCTACATAGTACATGATTGATCTCTCTTGTTTGTATATTAATATTGCTATGTAATATAGTGGGGCAATTGATTACCTTAACTAGTAGCCAACTTTCAACGATATACAGATTAAACATAGAAAAAAAAAACAGGGCCAACCCAGGGCAAGTGTAGGCAGCCCGCTCGCACAGGGCCCATAATTTCCAAGGGCCAAGAAATGCGAACTCATTAGGTAGTTCAAAGACATAAATTCCTTAATTCCTTAACTAAATCTATTGTAGTTAAATCATCCATAAATTACACTAACAACATTATTTTACTGAATTAGTTTTTATAGTTGTTATCGATCGCATATCTGAATGAGTTCTTCTCCAAAACTAAAAATGGAGAACATGGAGCACATGGTTTTCCATGCACAAGTAATTAAGGATGATGATGAACAAGAAATTGATGAATTTCAGGTAAACCATTTTAATGATGACAATTCGTGTTAATTTGATATCACTCTAATTGAGTTCTTTATGCAAAACAGAATTTTAGTGGTGAAGATATGCCAGATTCAAGCAATGCCTTTGGAGCATTTCATACTGATAAAGTGAGTAAAAGTTCTAGTTTTGTGTAACCAAGAAAATTAAGAACATGTGTACGAAAGGAATTTCAAAGAATTTATATGACAGGTGTTTACAAGTAAAGATGAATTGCTTACATGGGCCAAAGAAACCGGGAGAAATCTAGGTTATGTTATTGTGATTAGTTCTTCTTCAGCTAAAAACGGTGTAAAAAAGGCCAGACTGCATCTTGGTTGTGAGCGTGGAGGAGCTTATAAGAATCCTAAAAAAGCAAAAAGCAAAGAAGCATTATCTCGTAAGAGGACAGGAACAAAAAAAAATGGTTGTCCATTTTTATTGCAAGGCGTAAAATTAGAAAAAGATGACGATTGGTCTATAAAAGTTCTCTGCGACCTTCATAACCATCCTCCTGCTGCACAACTTGAAGGCCACTCTTTTACTAGAAGATTAAGTAAAGATGAAGAGACTATACTGTTAGATATGACGAAGAATATGGTAAAACCGAGAAACATACTAATGACAATAAAAGAGAAGAACGAGAAAAATACTACTACGATGAAGAGAATATATAATGTTCGTAAAAAACATAGAAGGATTGAGAGAGCTGGAAGATCACAAATGCAACAGCTTATGAAAAGATTAAATGATTATAAGTATGTGGAATGGCATAGGAGGAATGAGTCAACTGATTGTTTGACTGACTTGTTTTGGGCACATCCTGCTTCTATTAATATTTTACATGCCTTTCCGTTGGTGTTGCTTATGGACTGTACCTACAAAACCAATCAATATGGCTTTCCATTACTAGAGATAGTTGGTGTGACATGTACAGATCTTACATTTTCTATAGCATTCGTGTACATGGAGGCTGAGCGTGAAGAAAACTACACATGGGCAATGGAGAAGCTAAAAGCATTGATGCTGTCAAATATTGTGCCTAATGTAATTGTCACCGACAGAGACTTGGCATTGATGAAATCTATTAAGACAGTATTCCCTGAAACAAAAAATCTTCTCTGCAGATTTCATATCACAAAAAATGTTCTTGCCAATTCTAAAAAGTTGTTTAAATGCAAAGATGAGTGTGATGATTTCATGGCAGCTTGGAGTGTCTTGATATTTTCTTCAAGTGAAAAGGAGTACACTAAAAACTTAGATTCTATTGAAAGTGACTACCAGATGCATCTTAGTCTCATTCAATATGTAAGAGATACATGGTTGAATCCATATAAAGAGAGATTTATAGCGGCCTGGACCAATAAAATCATGCATTTTGGCAATTTGACAACAAATAGGTATGATGTTCAAATTTAATCTATTTTCAGTATTTATGAATTTACTAAATTTCAAAGAAAAATTGAATTTTTCTTTAACTTTTGCAGAGCTGAGAGTGCACATGCAAAGTTGAAGAAATGGTTTGGCTCTAGTCAGTCAGATTTTGATTGTTCTTGGATGATAATCAACGCTCTAATTGAGTTGCAACACACTGAAATTAGGGCTTCATTTGAGCAAAGTCTAAATGTGGTTGAACACAATTTCAGACCTGCATTGTTTAAAGACTTGCGCGGATTAGTATCACAAAAAGCATTGAACTTAATTCTGATCGAGTCTGAAAGAGCATCTACGGTTGGTGTCGACGCCAGTTTATGTGGGTGTGTCATGAGAAGCACACATGGCTTGCCTTGTGCACATGAAATTGCGGAACATGTCAGATGTGCTCAACCCATTCCAATATTAAATATTAATCCTCATTGGATGAAATTAAACTTGCAAAAACATCAAGTAGGTGAAGTCTCATTTGAAATGAGTATTGATACTGAGATGAGTTGCATATGGACACGATTTCATATGTCTGATCAAGCTGGAAAGCTGACATTGAAGAGGAAGCTAAGAGAATTAGGTGATCCAGCAACGACATTTCTAATACCACCACCTCAAAAAGCTAAGACAAAAGGTCATCCTCTTTTGAAGGCGACTTCATCAACTCGGCGTGACCCTTCATATTTTGAAATTGTTGACTCGGAAGTTGCTAAGCGTGACTGTGAATTAAGTCAAAAAACTGTTCCAGTTCGAAAAGTGAAGAAGAAAACAGCCAGGAAAAAATCCAAAAGTTTTCTAAAGTATTTGAACTTTTTTCCATCATACTTACACCCATATATCTTTGACATAATTGATGTCAAGCCGGATGGACATTGCGGTTTTCGTGCTATTTCTTCTCTACTGGGTTTTGGAGAAGACAAGTGGGCAACCATTCGTGAAGAGTTGATGGAAGAGTTGTGCAATTATCGACCTTTTTATGTTAAGTTGTACGAGTCCGCTGAAAATGTTGCTGAATTACTTGAAGAATTGTCTTATTTCAAAGCTCCAGCACCGTATAAGAATTGGACGACTCTACCCGCCATGGGTCATTTGATTGCTTCTAAATATAATGTGGTCTTGATCTACCTTTCTAAGTCGGTGTGTGACATTTCTTCCTCTTCGATCTAATCCACCCATAGAACAACACCATAAGGTATTAGTGTTGGGATTTGTAAATGGCAATCACTTTGTTCAGGTACTTACATTACTTATTACTTTATATTCTAATATTTGCTATGCACATTTTGGCATTGTATATTGAATGTATTAATTCAAATAATATTATATATTGGCAATGTATATATGTATTGTAGGTTTTAATGGATCCTTATGCGCCAATACCTCCCATTGTTGCAAATTGGAAACATTTTAGATTTGACATCGCAATGGGGTGGGAGACCCCATAGTTAGATCATATTAAGGAATTTAATGCCATACTTTCAGCCCATGTGGGTGATTGCGCTAAGGAAGTTATTAACATTGAAGAAAATATATAGGTACATCACACAATATTCTGTTGAATTACTTGTATTGGTCATTACGAAATTTGACGTATTAGTTTTGTTTTTATTTAATCCTATCAAATCTAAACTTTGCTTCTTTTTGACATGTGTTTTTACTTATTAGAAAAATTTGCACTTGTTATTGTAGGAGTTGTCAGATTCAGCAAAGTTTTGATCAATGTTGAACTAGTGGGAGAAGAAAGGCCTCACTCACATTCATTGCAGCAATTGGAGTTTTTCATTACTTTGTAGTCATTAGCTTTTTAAGCAATTTTTTAAATAAGGGACAGTTGGATGGAGAAACTTATTTGATAAGTTTGAACTAATTCATTAAGTTTTTTAATTACGTTAGATTTCACAAAAACTACTTGAGCTTCCATGGGTATGTTACCTAATTATTTTATCAGCTAAATGTCAAGCAATATGTAAATATCAGGAGGGTATATACGTAACATTCAAATCAGTTAGTAGACCAATGAAAAGCATATCAGGATCTGTCTAATTCATACATTCATTTTACTACGCAACAAAATGAAAGTAACACACTTTGAGTCACAAAGTAACTCATGCAAACGATGTCGTATACTAGTAATTTTTTCATGATAAGAACATTTAAGGGTAAGAACTTACCTCCAAAAATCTTAGTATCAGAAACTGTTGGAAAAATGTGTTAAACATTGCATTAAATGGTCATTTTGGGGCAATTATTTGAGTGGGGTCCACTTCCGATTTGGGTCGGGTTAAAGTGGTTTCGGATTGTCTTTGTTAAGGGCTACAATTCGATATGTGGTACACTCAAAACGGATAACGGGTGAATGAGAAATTGATTCTCGAAGTTCACTCGTTGAAATGGAAAAACTGGGAAAATGATGAGTTTCTAGTGTGTTTTATCCCACACTGAAAAACTCAAGGGATTTTCACCCCCTTATAAAGGGAAGCCTCTTTTAAGGAGTTACGATTCCTAAAGGGAAAGGCTCTCTCTTACGCGCAGGGGGGGGGGGTGCCGATCAAATCCCGAAACGGAGAAGAAAAACCGCGAATCGTGTGCGCGGACGACCTGCGGACACGAATGCCGTCCAAAACCCCTCGACCAGAACCCCTCGAAGGGTGTTCTGTTGGCTTCGGACAGAACCCCTCGAAGGGTGTTCTGTTGGCTACGGACAGAACCCCTCGAAGGGTGTTCTGTTGGCTTCGGACAGAACCCCTCGAAGGGGTGTTCTGTTGGCTTCGGACAGAACCCCTCGAAGGGGTGTTCTGTTGGCTTCGGACAGAACCCCTCGAAGGGGTCTTCAGTCGCGCATTTCTTCCGTTACAACAATTAATGCCCAACGTTCTTCTCTTTTAATGTTGCGTTAAATGGACAGTTTATGGACGATTCAATGCCCAACGGACTGCTCATTGATGTCCAACGTTCAGGTCCATTAACACCCCATTTAACACACAACAAATCCTCCTATAAATAGCTGGCAGGTGCTTTGCAACAAACACACGGTTTGACAACGCACAATACTTTCCTCACGTTTTCTTGAACTAAAAACTCTTCCAGCTACTCCCAAATTTCGCTAGTGTTCTGCTATTGTTCCAGTTCGCCGGGACTTTCGTTTGTGTGCTCAAACGATCGTTCGTTAGCCACCGTATCCTGGGAAACGGTCGTTGCAATGCTCCTAGCACTGTGGGAGGCGACGAATACGTTTTAAGGACATCGTGCGTAGCACGAGCTCTGGCTAAAATCTGATCCATCTTATTTTCTGTTTTCTTTTAGCTATTTTGTTTATTAATTAATTTTATTTAATTAATATTTCTTTGTTTTTTCCGAAACACACCCAACAATCTTAAAATGTATTTGGTGATTGTTCTACTCCGGTAAACAATCCTAAAACGTATTTTCCTTGGTTGTTGTACTGCGGTAAACAATCTAAAAACGTAGTTTGTCACTTTGGTGAACGAACTTAATTTTTGTATTTTCAGAAAACGTTGAAAACGTTAAAATGGCTTCGCAAGAAATTGGAAATATTGGTGGACAGAACGTGCCAAACGATAATCAATCTGAAAGTGGAGCACCGGTGAACAATGGTTCACAACGCGGTGCATCTACTTTGGGCAAGCAAGGGGCAATCCCTATGGTTACCGTGCCGAGCAACTCTGTGGAGAAACCCGAAAAATTTAACGGGTTAAACTTCAAGAGGTGGCAGCAAAAGATGCTATTCTATCTCACTACTCTCGGTCTTGCAAGGTTCTTGACCGAAGATGCGCCGGTAGCAACCGGGGGTGAGGTGGATGCACAATCTTTCAACGCGGTTGAAGCTTGGAAGCATTCTGACTTCCTTTGCCGAAACTATGTGTTGAACGGGCTGCATGATGCTTTGTACGACGTGTATAGCAAATTAGCTACGGCTAAGGAGCTATGGAATGCTTTGGACCACAAATATAAAAGCGAGGATGCCGACGCAAAGAAATTTGTTGTTGGTCGATTCCTTGATTTTAAAATGGTGGATTCGAAGACGGTCTTGAGTCAAGTTGAGGAAATGCAAATGATCTTTAACGAAATTCGAAATGAAGGAATGACAGTTAGTGAGTCTTTCCAAGTGGCGTCAATTATCCATTTATTGCCGCCGGCTTGGAAGGATTTCAAGAACTACCTTAAGCACAAGCGAAAGGAAATGAACTTGGAGCAATTGATCCTCCGTCTGCGGATTGAAGATGATAACCGGAAGAACGATGGGAAACTCCCAATTGTTCATGGCGCCAAGGCCAACGTGGTGGAGCATGCAAAAGGCTCCAAAAATAAAAATAATGGGAATAGCAAGCTCGGTCCCAAGGGAGGCGTTTCCAAGACGAAGTTCAACGAAAAATGCTTCAATTGCAATAAAAACGGACACAAGTCCGCGGATTGCAAGGCACCCAAGAAGAAGAGGGACTCTCAAGTAAACTTGGTGCAAGGTGGGCAAAAGGATGAAGACATCATCCTTGCGACTGTGGTGACCGAGGTCAACCTCGTTGGATCCAATTCCAAGGAGTGGTTCGTGGACACCGGTGCAACCCGGCATATTTGCTCAAACCGGGAGTTATTCACAACTTTTGAGCCATCAAATGGTGAGAAAGTGTGGATGGGTAACTCGGCTCATTCCGCGGTTGAAGGCGTGGGCAAGGTGGTCCTGAAGATGACTTCGGGCATAGAACTGACTCTCAACCAAGTGCTGTTTGTTCCGGAAATACGTAAAAACCTGATTTTCGGTTCGTTGTTGAACAAGCATGGCTTCCGCATGATCTTTGCTTCGGACAAATTAGTTTTGTCTAAATCGGGAATGTATGTGGGCAAGGGGTATGCATGTGATGGGCTCTTTAAGCTCAATGTAACGACTATTATTATTATTATTAATAAAAACCCTTCTGCTTACTTGCTTGAGTCTTCCAATGTGTGGCATGGTAGACTAGGACATGTTAATTTTAATTCTATACGTAGATTAATTAACATGGAGCACATTCCTAAATTCACAATTGATGTGAAGCACAAATGTGAAGTTTGTGTAGAGGCAAAACTAACGAAAACGTCTTTCAAATCAGTTGAAAGAAAAACGGAACCACTTGAATTAATTCATAGTGACGTTTGTGATTTTAAATCAATACAAACACGTGGCGGTAATAAATATTTTATTACCTTTATCGATGATAGCACTCGATATAGCTACGTTTATTTATTAAAAAATAAACACGAATCAATCGATAAATTCATTCTTTATAAGAATGAAGTGGAAAACCAACTTAATCGACGGATTAAAACGGTTAGGAGTGATCGAGGTGGTGAGTATGAAGCACCAATTGGTGACTTTTGTGCTAGTGTGGGTATAGTACACGAACGTACCGCACCCTATTCACCTCAATCAAACGGTGTCGCCGAACAAAAGAATCGCACATTGAAAGATATGATGAACGCGATGCTAGTAAGTTCGGGCTTGCCACAAAATATGTGGGGCGAAGCAATCTTGACAAGCAATTACCTTTTAAATAAGGTTCCCCGGAAAATATATGATAAAACTCTGTACGAGTTGTGGAAAGGCAGACGGCCTTCCTATCAATATTTAAAAGTGTGGGGGTGTCTTGCTAAGGTGCTTGTACCAACACCTAAGAAAATAAAAATAGGTCCAAAAACGGTGGATTGTATTTTTATTGGATATGCACAAAATAGTAGTGCGTATCGGTTTTTAGTGTACGATTCGAATAATCCGGATGTACATAAAAACACAATAATTGAATCAAGGAATGCTTCATTCTTTGAAGATGTATTTTCATGCAAGTCCAACGAAGGGCCTAGCACGTCAAAACGAACATTTGACGTAACTATGGAAAATACTAGCGAGGGATCCGTAGAAGAACCCGAACCCAGACGTAGCAAACGTGCTAGAATTGAAAAATCCTTCGGACCGGATTTTCTCACCTACCTAGTAGAAGTTGACTCGGATATTCTAACATGTATGGTAGAAAATGAATCGGATTTTCTAACATGTTTGGTAGAAAATGAGCCACGAACTTATACGGAAGCCGTGACGTCTACCGAAGGTCCTATGTGGAACGAAGCCATCAAAAGTGAGGTGGATTCTATCCTTAAAAATCACACATGGGAATTGGTTGATCTTCCTCCGGGAAATAAACCTTTGGGATCCAAGTGGATTTTTAAACGGAAAATGAAACCTGACGGTTCCATCGATAAGTACAAGACCAGACTTGTAATCAAGGGATACAAGCAACGTGAGGGCCATGATTACTTTGACACGTATTCTTCTGTGACGAGAATAAATTCCATTAGGATGATACTAGCAATTGTCGCATTGCGTAAATTGGAAGTTCATCAAATGGACGTAAAAACAGCTTTTCTAAATGGCGATATAGACGAAGAAATCTATATGGAACAGCCTGAGGGCTTTCGTGTTCCAGGCCAAGAAAGGAAAGTGTGTAAATTAATTAAATCATTGTATGGATTGAAACAAGCCCCTAAACAGTGACACGAAAAGTTCGATCATGCAATGTTAATTAATGGGTTTAAAATAAACGAAAGTGACAAATGCGTCTATGTGAAGAGCACGGTAGACGGCTATATGTCATTTTATGTTTATACGTGGATGATATACTCATCGTGGGTAGCAATAATCTAATGGTTAATTCTACCAAAAACATGTTAAATTCTAAATTTGACATGAAGGATATGGGGCTGGCCGATTTAATCCTTGGGATTAAAATAATTAGAGGACCTGACGGTCTTACGCTAAGCCAATCCCATTACGTTGATAAAATCCTTACGAAATTTAATAAGGATGATTATCAAGAGGCAAGGACTCCATTAGATAAAAACGTACAACTTACCAAAAATCGTGGAGAGTGTATTTCTCAAGTAGAATACGCTAGGATTATTGGAAGCTTGATGTATCTAATGAGTTGTACCAGGCCTGGTATTGCCTTTGTGGTTAGTAAGCTAAGTAGATATACTAGCAACCCCGGTGATGAACACTGGAAGGCAATAATAAGGGTTTTGAGGTATTTACGTAAAACCCAAAATCTTGGACTGCACTATGGAAGATATCCAGCTGTACTTGAAGGGTATAGCGACGCTAGTTGGATATCCGACATAAAGGACTCTAAGTCCACAAGTGGATATGTTTTCACTTTGGGAGGTGCAGACGTGTCATGGAAATCCTCAAAACAAACGTTAATAGCTAGATCCACGATGGAGTCTGAGCTAATAGCCTTGGATAAGTGCACTGAAGAGGCTGAATGGCTACGCCATTTTCTCGAGGATATTCCAAGTTGGGAGAAGCCTGTCCCTCCAATATTCATACATTGCGATTGTCAAACGGCAATTGGAAGGGCACAGAGCAATCTCTACAATGGTAAGTCTAGACACGTTCGTCGTAGACATAACACCATTAAACAACTCCTCACAACAGGTGTTATCACTGTTGACTACGTGAAGTCAAAGGATAACATAGCGGATCCGCTAACCAAGGCATTGGATAGAGAAGTGTTGGAGAAGTTGTCACGAGGAATGGGACTAAAGCCCGTTGAATTGAAAAGTTCTATAGTGGATACCCAACCTAGTTGGTCCTAGGTTCAAAAGGGACAACTAAATTATAGAGCGAAGGATGGTCACTGTGGGGGTCCTGGACTCCTACCCACTCCTCGTTAAAACAGTGACTCCCGCACGAGGTTAGCAAAAACGTTTGCTTTAATGATTCTAAAATGTTGATCTACTTGACAACATTGGAAGAGTATGCGGGATACTCGTGAAAGAATCACCTCTGTGAGAGAGAAGATGGCCTCTTCAAAGGAGAACTGTAAAGGCTCAGTTCTTTAGAAACTCTTGCAGAACCAGGACGGTGACCCATGGCCAAAACGGGCACACCCATGAGAACGGAACAAAGTTGGAAGGTTCTTGTGTAAAGATAAGTCAATGTTTACACGACGGCAGTATAGTTCAAGGACATCGAGTCTACTAGACAGCCAGTAAATAAACGTGTCTTTACAACGGAAGGTTCAAAGGATAAAACATACCTTTCCGTATGCAAGTATCATCCGGTGAACACAACGTGTCCTCCTATCTTCGTGTCTTTTTAAGTCTCGAAAATCATTTTTCATTCATGTGGGGGATTGTTGAAAAAATGTGTTAAAAATTGCATTAAATGGTCATTTGGGGGCAATTATTTGAGTGGGGTCCACTTCCGATTTGGGTCGGGTTAAAGTGGTTTCGGATTGTCCTTGTTAAGGGCTACAATTCGATATGTGGTACACTCAAAACGGATAACGGGTGAATGAGAAATTGATTCTCGAAGTTCACTCGTTGAAATGGAAAAACTGGGAAAATGATGAGTTTCTAGTGTGTTTTATCCCACACTGAAAAACTCAAGGGATTTTCACCCCCTTATAGAGGGAAGCCTCTTTTAAGGAGTTAAGATTCCTAAAGGAAAAGGCTCTCTCTTACGCGCAGGGGGGGTGCCGATCAAATCCCGAAATGGAGAAGAAAAACCGCGACTCGTGTGCCGAAAAATACTACTACGATGAAGAGAATATATAATGTTCGTCAAAAACATAGAAGGATTGAGAGAGCTGGAAGATCACAAATGCAACAGCTTATGAAAAGATTAAATGATTATAAGTATGTGGAATGGCATAGGAGGAATGAGTCAACTGATTGTTTGACTGACTTGTTTTGGGCACATCCTGCTTCTATTAATATTTTACATGCCTTTCCGTTGGTGTTGCTTATGGAATGTACCTACAAAACCAATCAATATGGCTTTCCATTACTAGTGATAGTTGGTGTGACATGTACAGATCTTACATTTTCTATAGCATTCGTGTACATGGAGGCAGAGCGTGAAGAAAACTACACATGGGCAATGGAGAAGCTAAAAGCATTGATGCTGTCAAATATTGTGCCTAATGTAATTGTCACTGACAGAGACTTGGCATTGATGAAATCTATTAAGACAGTATTCCCTGAAACAAAAAATCTTCTCTGCAGATTTCATATCACAAAAAATGTTCTTGCCAATTCTAAAAAGTTGGTTAAATGCAAAGATGAGTGTGATGATTTCATGGCAGCTTGGAGTGTCTTGATATTTTCTTCAAGTGAAAAGGAGTACACTAAAAACTTAGATTCTATTGAAAGTGACTACCAGATGCATTTTAGTCTCATTCAATATGTAAGAGATACATAGTTGAATCCATATAAAGAGAGATTTATAGCGGCCTGGACCAATAAAATCATGCATTTTGGCAATTTGACAACAAATAGGTATGATGTTCAAATTTAATCTATTTTCAGTATTTTTGAATTTACTAAATTTCAAAGAAAAATTGAATTTTTCTTTAACTTTTGCAGAGCTGAGAGTGCACATGCAAAGTTGAAGAAATGGTTTGGCTCTAGTCAGTCAGATTTTGATTGTTCTTGGACGATAATCAACGCTCTAATTGAGTTGCAACACACTGAAATTAGGGCTTCATTTGAGCAAAGTCTAAATGTGGTTGAACACAATTTCAGACCTGCATTGTTTAAAGACTTGTGCGGATTAGTATCACAAAAAGCATTGAACTTAATTCTGATCGAGTCTGAAAGAGCATCTACGGTTGGTGTCGATGCCAGTTTATGTGGGTGTGTCATGAGAAGCACACATGGCTTGCCTTGTGCACATGAAATTGCGGAACATGTCAGATGTGCTCAACCCATTCCAATATTAAATATTAATCCTCATTGGATGAAATTAAACTTGCAAAAACATCAAGTAGGTGAAGTCTCATTTGAAATGAGTATTGATACTGAGATGAGTTGCATATGGACACGATTTCATATGTCTGATCAAGCTGGAAAGCTGACATTGAAGAGGAAGCTAAGAGAATTAGGTGATCCAGCAACGACATTTCTAATACCACCACCTCAAAAAGCTAAGACAAAAGGTCATCCTCTTTTGAAGGCGACTTCATCAACTCGGCGTGACCCTTCATATTTTGAAATTGTTGACTCGGAAGTTGCTAAGCGTGACTGTGAATTAAGTCAAAAAACTGTTCCAGTTCTAAAAGTGAAGAAGAAAACAGCCAGGAAAAAATCCAAAAGTTTTCTAAAGTATTTGAACTTTTTTCCATCATACTTACACCCATATATCTTTGACATAATTGATGTCAAGCCGGATGGACATTGCGGTTTTCGTGCTATTTCTTCTCTACTGGGTTTTGGAGAAGACAAGTGGGCAACCATTCGTGAAGAGTTGATGGAAGAGTTGTGCAATTATCGACCTTTTTATGTTAAGTTGTACGAGTCCGCTGAAAATGTTGCTGAATTACTTGAAGAATTGTCTTATTTCAAAGCTCCAGCACCGTATAAGAATTGGACGACTCTACCCGCCATGGGTCATTTGATTGCTTCTAAATATAATGTGGTCTTGATCTACCTTTCTAAGTCGGTGTGTGACATTTCTTCCTCTTCGATCTAATCCACCCATAGAACAACACCATAAGGTATTAGTGTTGGGATTTGTAAATGGCAATCACTTTGTTCAGGTACTTACATTACTTATTACTTTATATTCTAATATTTGCTATGCACATTTTGACATTGTATATTGAATGTATTAATTCAAATAATATTATATATTGGCAATGTATATATGTATTGTAGGTTTTAATGGATCCTTATGCGCCAATACCTCCCATTGTTGCAAATTGGAAACATTTTAGATTTGACATCGCAATGGGGTGGGAGACCCCATAGTTAGATCATATTAAGGAATTTAATGCCATACTTTCAGCCCATGTGGGTGATTGCGCTAAGGAAGTTATTAACATTGAAGAAAATATATAGGTACATCACACAATATTCTGTTGAATTACTTGTATTGGTCATTACGAAATTTGACGTATTAGTTTTGTTTTTATTTAATCCTATCAAATCTAAACTTTGCTTCTTTTTGACATGTGTTTTTACTTATTAGAAAAATTTGCACTTGTTATTGTAGGAGTTGTCAGATTCAGCAAAGTTTTGATCAATGTTGAACTAGTGGGAGAAGAAAGGCCTCACTCACATTCATTGCAGCAATTGGAGTTTTTCATTACTTTGTAGTCATTAGCTTTTTAAGCAATTTTTTAAATAAGGGACAGTTGGATGGAGAAACTTATTTGATAAGTTTGAACTAATTCATTAAGTTTTTTAATTACGTTAGATTTCACAAAAACTACTTGAGCTTCCATGGGTATGTTACCTAATTATTTTATCAGCTAAATGTCAAGCAATATGTAAATATCAGGAGGGTATATACGTAACATTCAAATCAGTTAGTAGACCAATGAAAAGCATATCAGGATCTGTCTAATTCATACATTCATTTTACTACGCAACAAAATGAAAGTAACACACTTTGAGTCACAAAGTAACTCATGCAAACGATGTCGTATACTAGTAATTTTTTCATGATAAGAACATTTAAGGGTAAGAACTTACCTCCAAAAATCTTAGTATCAGAAACTGTTGGAAAAATGTGTTAAAAATTGCATTAAATGGTCATTTTGGGGCAATTATTTGAGTGGGGTCCACTTCCGATTTGGGTCGGGTTAAAGTGGTTTCGGATTGTCTTTGTTAAGGGCTACAATTCGATATGTGGTACACTCAAAACGGATAACGGGTGAATGAGAAATTGATTCTCGAAGTTCACTCGTTGAAATGGAAAAACTGGGAAAATGATGAGTTTCTAGTGTGTTTTATCCCACACTGAAAAACTCAAGGGATTTTCACCCCCTTATAAAGGGAAGCCTCTTTTAAGGAGTTACGATTCCTAAAGGGAAAGGCTCTCTCTTACGCGCAGGGGGGGGGTGCCGATCAAATCCCGAAACGGAGAAGAAAAACCGCGAATCGTGTGCGCGGACGACCTGCGGACACGAATGCCGTCCAAAACCCCTCGACCAGAACCCCTCGAAGGGTGTTCTGTTGGCTTCGGACAGAACCCCTCGAAGGGTGTTCTGTTGGCTACGGACAGAACCCCTCGAAGGGTGTTCTGTTGGCTTCGGACAGAACCCCTCGAAGGGGTGTTCTGTTGGCTTCGGACAGAACCCCTCGAAGGGGTGTTCTGTTGGCTTCGGACAGAACCCCTCGAAGGGGTCTTCAGTCGCGCATTTCTTCCGTTACAACAATTAATGCCCAACGTTCTTCTCTTTTAATGCTGCGTTAAATGGGCAGTTTATGGACGATTCAATGCCCAACGGACTGCTCATTGATGTCCAACGTTCAGGTCCATTAACACCCCATTTAACACACAACAAATCCTCCTATAAATAGCTGGCAGGTGCTTTGCAACAAACACACGATTTGACAACGCACAATACTTTCCTCACGTTTTCTTGAACTAAAAACTCTTCCAGCTACTCCCAAATTTCCCTAGTGTTCCGCTATTGTTCCAGTTCGCCGGGACTTTCGTTTGTGTGCTCAAACGATCGTTCGTTAGCCACCGTATCCTGGGAAACGGTCGTTGCAACGCTCCTAGCACCGTGGGAGGCGACGAATACGTTTTAAGGACATCGTGCGTAGCACGAGCTCTGGCTAAAATCTGCTCCATCTTATTTTCTGTTTTCTTTTAGCTATTTTGTTTATTAATTAATTTTATTTAATTAATATTTCTTCCTTTTTTCCGAAACACACCCAACAGAAATAAAGGTGTCACATGTATATGCAATTGCAAAGGATCCCACAATATAGAGGCTTTCCCATCATGGGTCACCTTTTTAACAATTGAGGATCAGGAAGAAGGTATAGGAGGAAGCAAACCCCGGTGATGAACACTGGAAGGCAATAATAAGGGTGAATATGAAAACCATCAGTAGAATTTCGAGAAATCTTAATATACGAATGGAGTTGAAATTGAACTCCTAGATCAAAACCATTCAAGGAAATCCAGAACTTGTAGAAATTCTAAAGCAGGATTTATAAGCTTTTATGAACAGAAACGGAAGGCTTACTTGAAGATAATAAATGAAATCTTTTTTCTTTTTCTCCCGCTTGAAAGCTTGCAAAGATGCTTCCTTTAAACTCCAAACAATGAATGAAGCAGGGTCTTCCATGTGTTTCCGACAAAGGTAAAATCATGGCTCAACGATGAGAGATGACGAAGAAGAGCTTGTCTTGTTCATTGCTTCATCCCTTCCGACTGGCTTGCGGGAGAATTGGAAAGGGCTCTGGCTCTTTGATTCCTTATTGGAAAGTTCAGACATTAACGAACTGGAATGGAATGGGAAATGAAACTTTAAATTAAAGTAACGAGCGGAAATTAAAGTAACGAGGGGCGTTAAGTTTTAAGGGCGTAATTGGGATTATAAAATGTGGGTATGTGCTTAGTAAAAACGGGCTGCCAATAGAATTTCCCAATTTTTTTGTATTAGTATTAGTGTCAAGCCCAAGTCGAAAATAGAAACCCAATAGTCTGTAGAGATTAGTGTCGATCCAACGTATCAACAAGGAACGCAGCAGCAGACTAGCAGTCACAGCCTCACAGGCTCAGCAATTCGCAACTCTTCGGGAGAATTAATTGGGTGTCGTGCCAGGACTCTGCTTTTCCAAGGTGAGTATGATACCCCGTAGTATTCATCATAAGTCCTTACTTTTAACTATTCATAAATGGTAATGCATCAGACACTTTTCTCTTCAGTTCTTCTCAATCGCTATTCGATAGTCTACTTTGAGGCTAGGCGTTCTTCATAGCTCACCTAACCGTACTTTCAAGTCCCAATTTCAGATTTCAGTTTTAGGTTAATGAGGCTCCATCGAATTGAAGGATGAGTGTTGTGATCGGTTTCATATTTGTGCAATTCATAATTAAGAATTAGGCTGCAGATTCTGAATCAATTAAACCCGTCTGTGGAATCAAAGGCAGAATCCCAGTCCGCTAGTATTCATTTCTCTAGTGCTAGGGTTGTTTCTTTATCCATTCAGCTTTCTACTCCGTATTTATTTATCCTTAGATATTGGGAGATATTGGGAGCAATGCTTCATTTTAATTTTTCAATTTTTCTGCTAAAACACACTCCATACTTATTTACTGCTAAAGATACCAACACCTAATGCTCTTTATTTAAATTTTTTGTATGTCTTTTGAAGATGTCATTTTTTTATGTTTTATTTTTTGGGGCCTCTAAGTTAATCTTGAACAGGCCTTTGAAATTTCAAGGCCGGTTCTGTGTACATCACTGCACCTTTGACTCAGCAAGACAGAGACCAGCCTCCACCAACGACGACGCTGCTGGCCGCCTACTGCCTACCGGCTACCTTGCTCTCCCGGCTGCCCAAACCCGTCAGTCCACCAAACGCCCAGCCTGATTGCTGGTCAGCCACCGCCGCCCACCCGCTTGCTGCATTGTCGCACCTACACGTCTTATAAATCCCCCAATATCCGTCACTATTCATCAAGTCCAGTCGGAAATGGATCTCTTTGCCAAAAAGCTCGGCCTCTCTGAGAACAAGATGCTCATCCGTAAAGCTGCCGAGCTCCGACGTCAGGCCGATATCCAATTCGATTCATCCGTTATCGGCGTTGTAAGTAAAATATGTGCAGGATCAGTGGCTTCCCCTCTTAATTGTACATATATTGCATTCATGCCTGACTCTAACTGTGCTAATTATTGTTTCTTTTTTATTTTACAGGGTGAAGTATGCAAAGCGATCATCTGCCTTGAAATCGCCGCTTCTGGGTATGTTTATGCATTAAAACCTTATAGAATTGTTTTGCTATAGAAATATGTATATGATTCAAGTCAGATTTGCTTCCTGCAAATTGATGATTGAGTTGCATAGTACGGAGTATGTATTTGTGATAATGTTTGATCTGCGGCATGTGTTTGTAATAATGTTTAAACTTTGCCTGTGAATGTAGGATGGGTGTGATATTTGATCGTCAGGCTGCAATCAAATTGAGTGGAATGACAGAAAAGGCTTACAATAGATCATTCAATTCATTGCAGAATGGCATTGGAGTCAAGTAAGTTCTTAAAAACTGTTTCTTCTTCTTCTTCTGAGTTCTGTTTTATTGTTATTGTTGTCTAAGTTGTATAAAAGGTTTCTTTTTGTGCAGGAGTAAGCTTGATATTCGTGAATTGGCTATTCAGTTTGGGTGCATTAGGTTGATACCTATTGTCCAGAAGGGTCTAGCACTGTAAGTAATGTTATGAAATGATGAATTTGATTTTACACTTCTTATTCTTTTTGTTCACTCTAAGAGTCTCGTTTAGACAGAAGCGCTAGATAATTCAGCTCTTTCAATCCTATTAAATTAAGCTTGAAATTCTGATATTATTAATGAAGTTGAACCCTGGACTTTAGGTGAACAAGGAAATGAAGTCCCAATCTATCAGGAACACAATATTGTTGCTAGGAATATTGAATATAATAGAAACCCAATAGTAATATGGAACTATTACCAATACTAATAATAGGAAGCACTGACTGATTTGACTAATTAATAATTTGAAGGATTCTTGAGCGGATCCACTAGGCCTTATCGCATTATAATGTTCTATAAGTACTTAAAGACCAAGTGTATCAAGATTAGTAAATATGAACTTTACCGTGAATGGTCTATTATTTATAAGTGTTTAGTTACATTTATGTTTTGCACCTGAATATCAAGTAGCCTTATGACCATTGAGTGATTTTTATATGGTATTCCAGCAAGTTCCTTGCAACCAAGTTGCATTTGGATTGGAAATTTATTGAGGTAGGCAAGTTATTGTAATATTGCGGGATGAGAATAACTGAAATGTTGTTTTGTTCAGATACAAAGACCGATTTGTTACTTCACTGCCGCCTTCGCGTAGGCTAAGTGCAGATTTCTCTAGGCCTGTCTTTACTGCTGTAGCATTTTATTTGAGTGCCAAAAAGCACAAGGTACTGTATAGTGTAATCTGTTGTTTGTGTATCGAATAAATTATGCCATTAAGAAGTAGAAATGTCTAATTTTCACTTTCCCATTTGTTTTTAGTTGAAGGTGGACAAGGTTAAGTTAATTGAGATATGTGGTACTTCAAATTCTGAATTTGCAAGTGTATGCATTTTTTCACTTCTGATAGCATTACTGTTTAGTTCAGAACCATTATGTGTGCTTATTCAATAAATGTTGTTGCAGGTTTCTACATCCATGAAGGACTTGTGCTTTGATGTTTTTGGGATATCAAAGGAAAAGAAAGATGCCAAGGAAATCCAAGGCAACCGAGGTAATGTCCAATCCTTAACAAGCACTTTTCCATGCATGGAATGTCAAAGGAGTGCAAGATAGTACAGTAGTTTATCATGCTTTGCCTTGTTCGTGCAGAGCTGCTTGATGTTTTGCCTGAGAAGAGAAGGATAAAGGATGGTGGCTATTCATCTGATGAGGATCAGGTTATAAAAATAGCTTCAATAGTTTTGAGTTTATACCCGATTCGGTCACTTCAGTATACACTAATACTTACACTAATACTAAAACTTGGACCAAATATAGTAATCATTCATGTTTCGTTATAAACTATAAGGGTAATCTACATGTTCACTAAATTTGGACCTAATTTATGACCCAGTTTAGTACCCAGATATACAATTTATATCCATTTTAGTCCTCAAAATACAAAAATTAAATTAAGCTTAAATATGTGGTGATGAAATTCCTCTATTTAACTTGGTTGGTCCATTTTAGAGCTAAATATGCTTCATGATTAAATTGCAGTCAAGGATCAAGTTATGTCCAACATGCAAGGATCAATTGAGTAATAGTGTATAGTTGCGAGACGAAATTGGGTGTTAACCCCTTTTTCTATCAATTGGTTTTAATATTGGTTCAAGGCGGAATAGCTGTTCTAACATTTTGCGGTCAATGCATCTAAAAATCTATTTATGCATCAATTGACTAGATGATGCAGTAAAATTTTGTTAATATCTACTCCCTCCGTCCCCTTTTAAATGTCCCGGAAGAGGGTGGCACGAGTTTTAAGAAAAGTAAGTTTGTGTGGTTGATATTAATAGATAAAGTAAGAATAAAGTAAGAATAAAGTAAGAATGATTTTGAGCCACACAAACTTTACCAAATAAGGTATGAGACAATTAAATAGGGACATCCCAATATGGTAAAATGGGACATTTAAAAGGGGACGGAGAGAGTATATCTCTATGGTAGTTCTTGAATGTGATGTCTCCAATGTTTTCAGTCTTGCTACAAGAGGCAAAAACTAATGCACAAACAAGAATATGAGAAGTGGAAATCTACGGTTGTGAACTCCAACCATCACTGCAAATCTAAAGGTATGTTGTTATTACACTTCACTGTTCACGTTGTGTTGAAGCCAATCAAGCCACACTGATATATTTTTTGTAAACTAATGTTATCTCAATGTTTGGAATCTCTAGCTCCAATGAAGCGCACCAAACAAGTCCGGCTAAACTTCCCGAAAAAGGTTTCAGAAACAAAAGTAGATGTGGCATGATACACACGCAACATGTTTGTAAGGATTGTTGAATGGTGTTAGCATTTTACCATGGCTAGGAACACAGAGCCAAAAATATCAAGGATAATGATCTCCCTAAATTATTGTTAGTTGACATCTGAGGTGGGGCTGAAAATGCTTACTGGTTTTACTGTCTACACAACAGCAGTTTCATTTTTGGTATATATGAGCATTTGACTGAGTATGATTCATGCTCAAGGTACTCGAATGGAATCAAAATATTGGGTATTGAAGTATAACATGGTAGAGTATTTTTAAAGATCAATTGAACAAATTAAACTAGTCAAAAAAAGAATAAAATATTCTCCACTAAAATAATGGAGGGGAAAAGCACATATATAAAGGGTAGCCTCTTGGAGGATGCTTATATAACTTAAAGCTTTGGTGAATTCAGCCAACCCTGAACCCTAATGTAGAAATGGTTTGCTTATTATCATTTTTGGATGGCTATTTTTGTCTTACTTCCGAACATTATTTTAATGTTTGATTGAATAACTTAACATTATTTAGGATTAGGTTGTTGACATTTCTACCCAAAAGTAGTGCTGTTATTTGAGTCCAATAGGGTATGAGCATGACGTGCTCGAGCTCAGCTTCAGGCTATCTTGAGCTTGACTTGAGCTCGGGTGGCTAAGATTTCAATCTCAAAATCGAAGTTGAGTTAAGCTTGTTTCAGTTGTTTGAGTTGAACTCGTAACCCATTTATAGTTCTATAATATTCATGGGTAGATTTCCCAAAATAGGAGTAAATGAAGTCTGAAATTCCAGAATCGGACTACTTTGTTTCTATTCCCGAAATGGGACTAACATGGCAGTATTTGCTGTCATCTTGTAGTCGTGACTGCCAAATAGTTGCAGTACTGTGCATTTAACATGACAGTATTTATTATAATTAATGACATTATTTTTCAATCATGATAGTATTTTTCAATCATGACCGTAATAACTCATATTTCGGGAAGAAAAACATACTAGTCCTATTTTTGGAATTCCAAGTGTCATTTGCTCCTATTTTGTGTAATTTCCCAATATTCATGTGGACAAGTGATACGTATTTATACCTTAGATTTGACTTCAAATTGAGTTTAACTAAATTCAGATTATCTGGTTTATGGTTTGATCATTAAATCAAGCTGAATTTGAACTTTAGCACGTTGGCGGTTGGTCCAACTTGAGGTCGATAAGTCCATTCATGTCTCTATCTTATAAGAACTCTCTACCCAAAAGATACAATTTTTTTTACTATGTTAGCACCTATCTAGAGACACTGATGTCAGGGCAAGCTAGAGAGTAGTAGTAGTATAAATAAGTTTGAGCTTGAACATTTTAAAGCTACTTGAACTCAGTTCCAACTTCCAATACGGTCAAGTAAAAAAATTATACTTGAAATGCTTACACAAGAAACCTCATACTCAACTCAAGAAACTTGAATTGTGTGCAACCATTGTCAAGTATGAAAATACTAAAATTTATAATTATACACACATGTAGTTAGTCGAATAGGCTCATCAAGTAAAAAAAAATATACATGAACTTGATTTTTTTTAATTATACACCAGAAACCTCATATAGTTATAAAGTATTCAAATTTTATTACTATGCACACACATGTAGACAGTAGTCAAGGGGATAGGCTCATAACGTTTTTGAGTTGTATAAATAAAAGCTTGAACTAGAGTACACGACTAGTGAATCCTTTCGGACCTTTCTTGTAACTTGAAATCGATTTTAGATTATAGCTTGATTCATGTCAAGCCTAACATAAGTAGTTAACTAATTTATCTTGTCTTAGAGAGTACTTAATCTCATGTGCCCCTAGTCCCTACACATATACAAAATGCTCATCTAACAAAGTTCTAAAACATGGTAAATCACCTCTCTTTGTTGTCTTTATTTCTTTCTTTGTGTAGGTTGTAATTCGGAAAAATGAAGAAATATTAATTAAATAAAATTAATTAATAAATAAAATAGGCAAAGAAAATCCGAAAATAGATGGGAAAGAATTTAGCCAGAGCTCGTGCTATGCACGATGTCCTTAAAACGTATTCATCGCCTCTCACGGTGCTAGGAGCGTTGCAACGACCGTTTCCCAAAATACGGTGGCTAATGAACTAACGTTTGAGCACACAAACGAAAGTTCCGGCGAACGGAAACACAAGAAGAACACAAAGGAAATTTTAGGGGAGTTGGAGGTGTTTTTAGCTGAAGGAAAATGTGCAGATTGTGTATGATCGCATGTGTTGTTGCAAAGCACCTGTCAGCTATTTATAGGAGGATTTGTTGTGTGTTGATGGAGAGTTAAGGGACCTGAACGTTGGGCATCAATGACCAGTCCGTTGGGCATTGAATCGTCCATGACTGTCCATTTAACGCTGCATTAAAAGATAAGAACGTTGGGCATTTATTGCTGTAACGGTTCAGAACTGCTCTTAGGTATTCTGCCAACAGAATACCTCGTAGGTCTTCTAGTCCGCAAGCCAACAGAAGCGGAGCAGTTTTGGTTCTGGGCAAAATAAAACGTTACGAGAAGAAACAAAAATTAGATTGGCACCTCACTTGCCCGCATGTCGCGGTTTTTCTTTTCTGTTTTCGGGATTTGATCGGCACCCCCCCCCCCCCCCCCCCTTGCGCGTAGGGGAGAGCAAACCCAACCCTACCCGATTGACCTGATCAGATATATCCGATTTTTTTGATGGGGTCAGAAAACCCGACCCGAAATACCCAAACCCGATCTGATTTTTGCAACCCGAGACTTAAGCGGGTAGCGGGTAGGGTTACCAATTATGCTACCCGACCCGCCCGAAAAACCGAACTAGCATAGTATATATACTACTTTAAATTACTATGCATGTTCAAATATCTCAATTATTATATGTCAATTACCATATTATGCATGTTCAAATATTCCAATTACCGTATTAGTACAACTATAACTTTGAATGTTGTATTGTTATGACTTTGAATGATATTTTGACCAATTACCATTTTATTTATCACAATATCAATTATGTCAATCACCGTAAATTATAATTTTACATGTTCAAATATGTCGATTACCGTATTTATACAACTATTACTTTGAATGATATACTAGTATAACTTTGAATGATATTTTTACCAATTACCATTTTATTTATCACAATTTCAACAATAATAAATTAAAATTCGAATGGACCCAAAACCCGAATCAACCCGATTGCAACCCGAATTTCTTCAAGCTGAAGAAAACCGATAATTTTTTTGATAGGGTAGGGTTTGAAATTATCAATCCAATACCCGAACGGGTTTATCATTTTTGAACCCGACCCGCCCGAACCCGACCCGTGCTCTGCCCTACTTGCACGTGAAGAGAGCCTTTCCAACTAAGAATCTTAACTTCTTCAAAGAGGGTTCCCTTTATAAAGGGGTGAAAATCCCTTGGGTTTTCCGGAGTGGGATAAATACCGCTAGAAACCCATCATTTTTCCAGTTTTTCCATTTCAACGAGTGAACTTCGAGAATCAATTTCTCATTCACCCGTTATCCGTTTTGAGTGTATCATATATCTAATTGTAGCCCTTAACAAGGACAATCTGAAACCACTTTGACCCGACCCAAATCAGAAGTGGACCCCTCTCAAAATATTGCCCCAAATTGACCATTTAATGCAAATTTTAACACATTTTCCCAACAATCCCCCACTTTGACACGTTGTATTTTAATGCCTCAAAATACTGTCATCGTGTAAACATTGACTTATCTTTACACAGGAACCTTCCAACTTTGTTACGTTCTCATGGGTGTGCCCGTTTTGGCCATGGGTCACCGTCTTGGTTCTGCAAGAGTTTCTAAAGAACTGAGCCTATACAGTTCTCCTTTGAAGTGACCCTTTTCTCTTTAACATAGGTGATTCTTTCACGAGTATCCTTCATACTCTTCCAATGTTATCGAGTGATCAACATTTCATAATCATTAAAGCAAACAATTTTGCTAACCTCGTGCGAGAGTCACTGTTTCAACGAGGAGTGGGTAGGAGTCTGGGACCCCCACAGTGACCACCCTTCGCTCTATAATTTAGTCGTCCCTTTGAACCTAGGACCAACTAGGTTGGGTATCCACTATAGAACTTTTCAATTCACGGGCTTTAATCTCATTCCTCATGACAACTTCTCCAACAATTCTCTATCTAATGCCTTGGTTAGCGGATCCGCTATGTTATCCTTTGACTTCACGTAGTCAACAGTGATAACACCCGTTGTGAGAAGTTGTTTAATGGTGTTGTGTCTACGACGAACGTGTCTAGACGTACCATTGTACATGTTGCTGGAGACGAGCATCTTCATCCGGAGGCCGAGGGCCTCAAGACGACCATCACGGCCAAGGGCCTCAAGACGACCCGGAGGCCGAGGGCCTCAAGATGCCTGGAGACGAGCATCGTCACCCTTAGACCGAAGGCCCATGAGACGATCATCTATCACCCACAAGAGCATCTTCACTATCGAGGAAGAACTTGCCGCTTATTTTAATTTAAAAATCTCCCGAATTAAATAATGCCGAGCAAAGCTCCTATGATAGATTTCCCCGTCATTTTAATTTAATGATTAGGGGCCGAGCCGAGCCGAGCCGAGGGTCATCATACCCCTAGTGTCACGCCCCGGAGCTACCTGGACACGTCAACAACCCGCCGTACAGTACAAATAGTCAACCGCAGTCCAACACATTCATACTATACAAGGCGTCTGTAATATCATTCACACGTAGTACATTCATAAACAAACATAATGTAAAATATTCATTAAAGTAGAGGAAACATTAATACAAGTGTTCAAGCCACACATGGCAAACTTAGGCATACAAGCCCCCAAATAATTATTCAGAAAATATTATCCATGAACATTATTATAATTGTTTTTGAAACAGAAACGGAGGAAGCATGAGCCACGTCTTCTCTCCTTGATCTTCTCGAAGCAACGGGCGATGGTAGCAACCTTCAAGTTCTACCTGAAACTGTGAGGTGGCCTCCTCCGTGAAGGGAATGTCAGTACTTTGAAGCATTTGAAAAGTACAATGACAACTACACTGTATATAATCAATGCTTCAATTTCTAAGACCCGTGAAGGGGTGATATTATATTATAGGCCATAACCCTCGTTCACCCTGTTTGAAAATATACTTACTTTATATAAAGTCAAGTAGTCGGCCCGTGGGCCCATATTCATTTAGAATTCACCATTTCTATTTCACGTGACCTCAAG